AATACCTCTTCATTTCTAACCTTTTCTACCCACGATATCCTCATCATCCGCCTATAACACCACATTTCGAACGCTTCTAACCTTTTCTTTTCCGCCGCGCCCACTGTCCATGTTTCGCACCCGTACTACGCCGTTCTCCAAACATACACCTTCAACAACCTTTAATTATGAGCATTATACGAGACTAATTTTGCATCAACATATGTGAATAATAAAATAAATATTAACGTCAAATCTTATTTTCAGGGTTCAGACCCGAGAGTAGCCACATGCCGGGGAAAACTTCAAAATAAACGATCCATATTGAACCAAGAAATCAACAAAGAATTGCGACTCCGTGCGGGAGCGGAAAATTTGTTCAAAGCTACAAAAAATAAGAAACTCAGGGAAACCGTGGCATTAGAATTGAGTTTTGTCAATTCAAATCTTCAGCTTCTAAAAGAAGAACTTGCTGAGCTAAATTCTTGTGTCGAGTTATATCAAAATGACAGGTGGGTATCTATTTTATATAGTAAAACGAAAATTAAAAACACCTTCGTTACCGTTAACGGTTTGGCTTTTAAATCTTGCAAGTTTTTCGACCCCTGACGTTTTTATCAAGTAATTTCATTATTTTACATACCTATGCCTAAACTGCTTAAAACTACAAAATCTTAAGTATTTGTGTTGTTTAGTTTCACTCTAGAACACAAGAAAAGCAACTGACTTAACGTGCTATCCAGTACTATTGACCCACAAGTTAAAAAACTTCCATTAAGATCAAATGGAGATTTCAAAATATATGCACTTACTAGTCAGTAGTAATTACAGGGGGCTATGGAAGTCAACACGAAAAATGACTGATAGAATGATAGGGCATCTTCTAGAAGATGATGAGCTAGTTAAAAACATATAAGAAATTTTGCGTGTTAACTTTTTCTGTTATAATCTTATGGTCCAACTTTTATTTTTACCATAGCATAATATTGAGAGTCGCAGTGAACAATTGTTGGTTCCGCTTTCGTATCGGTTCCGCGTTTGTTGCGGTTCCGCATTTGTTGAGATCTACTTCTGATTCAATTCCATTGATTTCGGTAATTACTTAGGTGGATAAGAAATCTCGCCAAGGTCGCGATAATTTCAGGGCCGCGTTCGTCTGACAGCACTTAAAGAGATTTCAAGATCATTAACACATTTATCATCCTGCTCGAGGCATATCAAGAGAAGGCGTATAACGATCGAGTGGCTGAGTGGTGTATTAAAGCATGTCTGTGTGTGCTTCCACTACTGACCTACATTCTTCCGCATTGGCATGGGCTCGTTCGTAAACATTAATAAACCTGTTATTACTGTTGACTACTCAAATGGAGAGTAAACAAACTATACCTTTACTAATGAAAACAGTTCCTGTATACATATCGTAATAGTAATTATTATTATTTGTTTACTGAATTCTTCGAGTTCTTTTTTCATACGAAATAGTTGTTTTTGCAAAAAACAAATCCACTGGATAATTGCCAGGTAGCAGGAAAAGAAATTTCATTAAACTCCCTGCCCTAATACCAATGCAATATTTTACATTAGATGGATGTTTTTGAAAGCAACTTGCTATCTAAACCGCCTAGGCGGAATTGAAAGTAACGAGTTATACTATGTGGTACCAAAGTTTTTGTTGGAATCGCAGCCCCTATAGCTATCAGTAGGTATTAATTTAGTCTAAGGTTAAATGAAAATATGAGGTCCCGACCGTCCAGAAAAGAAAATACTGTTCCCGAGGGATATAAAAATTAGTTTTATGTAGTAGATGATATTTGACATGTATTCAGGACATCAACGAGAGCGAAGCCTCGGGTAAAACCTATCTTGAAATTTTATAGACACATTGTCAGGGGTACAGAAAAGGTCATAGGGTACCTTCTATCCAGAAAAGAAAATACTGTTCCCGAGGGATATAAAAATAAGTTTTATGTAGTAGATGATATTTGACATGTATTCAGGACATCAACGAGAGCGAAGCCTCGGGTAAAACCTATCTTGAAATTTTATAGACACATTGTCAGGGGTACAGAAAAGGTCATAGGGTACCTTCTATCCAGAAAAGAAAATACTGTTCCCGAGGGATATAAAAATAAGTTTTATGTAGTAGATGATATTTGACATGTATTCAGGACATCAACGAGAGCGAAGCCTCGGGTAAAACCTATCTTGAAATTTTATAGACACATTGTCAGGGGTACAGAAAAGGTCATAGGGTACCTTCTATCCAGAAAAGAAAATACTGTTCCCGAGGGATATAAAAATAAGTTTTATGTAGTTGATGATATTTGACTATATATAGCCTAATACCATTGTAATATTTTGCAACATTAAATGGATGTTTTTAAAAGTAAATTACTATCTAAACCGCCTAGGCGGAATTGAAAGTANTAATTTCATTATTTTACATACCTATGCCTAAACTGCTTAAAACTACAAAATCTTAAGTATTTGTGTTGTTTAGTTTCACTCTAGAACACAAGAAAAGCAACTGACTTAACGTGCTATCCAGTACTATTGACCCACAAGTTAAAAAACTTCCATTAAGATCAAATGAAGATTTCAAAATATATGCACTTACTAGTCAGTAGTAATTACAGGGGGCTATGGAAGTCAACACGAAAAATGACTGATAGAATGATAGGGCATCTTCTAGAAGATGATGAGCTAGTTAAAAACATATAAGAAATTTTGCGTGTTAACTTTTTCTGTTATAATCTTATGGTCCAACTTTTATTTTTACCATAGCATAATATTGAGAGTCGCAGTGAACAATTGTTGGTTCCGCTTTCGTATCGGTTCCGCGTTTGTTGCGGTTCCGCATTTGTTGAGATCTACTTCTGATTCAATTCCATTGATTTCGGTAATTACTTAGGTGGATAAGAAATCTCGCCAAGGTCGCGATAATTTCAGGGCCGCGTTCGTCTGACAGCACTTAAAGAGATTTCAAGATCATTAACACATTTATCATCCTGCTCGAGGCATATCAAGAGAAGGCGTATAACGATCGAGTGGCTGAGTGGTGTATTAAAGCATGTCTGTGTGTGCTTCCACTACTGACCTACATTCTTCCGCATTGGCATGGGCTCGTTCGTAAACATTAATAAACCTGTTATTACTGTTGACTACTCAAATGGAGAGTAAACAAACTATACCTATACTTAATGAAAACAGTTCCTGTATACATATCGTAATAGTAATTATTATTATTTGTTTACTGAATTCTTCGAGTTCTTTTTTCATACGAAATAGTTGTTTTTGCAAAAAACAAATCCACTGGATAATTGCCAGGTAGCAGGAAAAGAAATTTCATTAAACTCCCTAATATTTTGCAACATTAGATGGATGTTTTTGAAAGCAACTTGCTATCTAAACCGCCTAGGCGGAATTGAAAGTAGTAGCGAGTTATACTATGTGGTATCAGAAGTTCTTGTTGGAATTGCAGCCCCTATATAGCTGGAATTCAGTGGACTATCAGTAGTTATTAATTTAGTCTAAGGTTAAATGAAAATATGAGGTCCCGACCATATCTCAAGGCGCATTTCAGTATACCTTAGTACGGACTTGAACTATATTTACACGCATGATAATTATCCATATAAATACATACGTTTAAGAATTAATTATTAATGATTTCCTTATATTATCTTGCTTTAAAATGTACACATGCATATTAAATGTACAAATGCTTGCATATAGATAAGTGCTTTCGTTTAATTCACAATTTTTTTAATTCGAAAACAAGGACTTTAGAAAGTTAATAGTTGCTTGGTCGTGAATAGTATGAAAGCTTTTTACAAGTTTGTAATTAGCTTGCAAAATAATGGCAGCGACCAATAACGCCGGATTTTAATTGCGTTATTATTTCCTAAATATACGTATATGAATCTATCGAATGGTATGTTAATTAAAACATGGTTTAGATCAAGGCAAACGTTTTTCCACATATATGTTTTTACTTATTCAAATTAATTGAAAAATAATATCGATCCTTTATTGTTCGTACGGACATTTATCTGGGTGTCAAAAAAATAAAAATAATAACACGGGTATTTGTTGCAGTACTGATCACATAATGCCCATGATCCCACTTGGACTCAAAGAAACAAAAGAAATCAATTTTCGAGAGCCATTTAAAGACTTCATATTAGAACATTATAGTGAAGATTCGTGTAGATACGACGACGCAATAACGGAATTTATAGACACACGACAGGTAAATAATGTAAACTTTATAATCTACTAAGTATAATACAGATAATATTAACTCCTATATGCTTGGACTTGTACAGAAGACTAGCTTTTTCAGCCTAATTTTTGCTTTTGTTTGCATCGTCCATATTCTACATGGTGATATTATAATTTCATCATCATCATAAGGTCGTCAGTCCTAAGACTGGTTGGACACGCACCTCCACTCTTTCCTATCCTGAGCTAAACTTCGCATTTCCCTAAAACTAGAACAACCCACATCCTTAACTATTTGCGAACAGTAATCTAATCTAGGTCTACCTCTACCACTCCTAACTCCTGTTTCTGCCTCTAATATGTCTCTGACTAGACCTTCATGCCTGAGAAGGTGTCCTACCAACCTATCTCGCCTATTTTTTATTGACTTCCATAGAGTCCTCTGTTCTTCTATTCTTTCTAACACCTCTTCATTTCTAACCTTTTCTACCTACGATATCCTCGTCATCCGCCTATAACACCACATTTCGAACGCTTCTAACCTTTTCTTTTCAGCCGCGCCTACTATCCATGTTTCGCAGCCGTACAATGCCGTGCTCCAAACATATACCTTTAACAACCTTTTTCGAATTTCTAAATTAACCGTTCGCGAGCATAGAAGTGGCTTCTTTTTATTAAAGGCGACACGACCCTCCGCTATCCTCTGCTTTATATTCCTACTACTCCTTCTATCCGGACTTACCTGACTTCCTAGGTATTATAATTTATTATTTTTAAATTGCATGGGTATCTGCTTTCTTTAGAGAGGTATTAAATTTATAGTTTCATTAGGTGTTACTTATATTAGTGGCAGTTGAGGGGTAGTTCACACGGCTGAATGGAGCAATGATTTGTCATTGGTCATCTAAACTATGAGGACGAGTGAGCGTCGAATGCAAAAGCCGTCTGAACTGTCTGTAAGCCTTACGTAATAGTACCCTAATTCAAGGGGGTGCAATTGTTCCCATCACAGAGTCACCAGTGTTTTATACCTATATACACCTTTGAAGTATATCCATATAATTTGGATTATTTACTTAAAGGCCTTATAAATAAAATATCAAAAATGATGGGCTTAATAATTGATATTTAAAAGTCTACTTATCTAAACAAATCCGACCATTACAAATACTTTCTCGACACATATAAATGAAAACTTACAAATCCTTACATTAAAAAATGGAATAATTTATTTACAGATTCAAAAAAAGGCGCTGAAATGTTAGTTAATTAGTTTTACATTAACACACGTACCTAATTATGTTTATTGCCTACAAATCTGTGATTTGTCTTATGTCAGAAAAGCAATTATGAGAGAATAAATACGTGCTTCATTGCCCGGCGCCAAATTTCGGTGCCTATAAATTCCACAAAATATTAATTTTATCATCACTTTTTCGTCACTAGCTACACAACTCATTTTATGACGAACGAATCGCACTCTAACTTTAATTAAGATAACAAGTTAGCGAACATATTTGTCAAATAATAAAAATATTTCTTCTTTTATCCACCGGCCGTTGTCACGAATTAATTTAGTTAATTGCCTTAAAACCAAGTCATATTGGTGTAACTATAACGAATGTTTCGGTTATAACAAGCTATCAAAAACTTATTTACTTAGTATACGATAAGAAAAGCACAAAATATAAGTAATTTCTAAAGAGATTGTAAGATAATCAGGTCAATACTGAAAAGTTCTCTCCTAAAGATAAACTATTGGAACTATTTTTATATTCTAGGCTATGAGAATTCCCTTGAGGGACAGTTCAGGGGTAGCATTGTTATTTAAATATTTCAATCAACTTTATTTTGTGGAAAGGAGATTTTTTCCGCCTGACAGATCCCTTGGAATATTTTTCGAATGGTACGATTCATTAACAGGTAGGTACGTTTTATTTTTAAACATAAGATTAATTGAAAAGAAGTTTTTTCTTAAAATATACTGAATGTAATTAATATACTAATGAAACTGTCGTCTTTTGTTTATTAAAATATCAAAGCTGTTTTACCTCAGGAGTGCCATCATGCCAAAGAACAGTAGCTTTCGAAAAAGCTTGCGTCTTATTCAATATTGCCGCCATATACACCCAGATAGGTACCAAACAAGACCGAAGAACGGCCAAAGGTTTAGATTCAGCTGTAGACAGTTTTTTAAGGGCCGCGGGAACATTTAGATACATTCAGGAAAACTATACCAATGGTCCTTCAATGGATCTAAGTCCAGAAATGTTAGAAATGCTCATACAACTAATGCTGGTAATTTGATTTTTCGCATCTACCCAGTCAAAACTTGAATTAATTGCATCAAATTTTTTTGCTCTCCTACAGGCGCAAGCTAGAGAATGCCTTTTAGAAAAACTAGAGCTCCAATCCAAAGACAAACGCACCATTGATATTTGTTTGGATTTGGCTCAAGAAGCGTCCTATCTCGCTCAATGTTTCAGTCATGTCCACCAGACCATTACCCAAAAAACAGTAAAAAATTACGTACCCTACAGTTGGGTTTCCCTTCTCCAATTAAAACACGTATATTTTACCGCCATGGCTCACTATCACGTAGCATCCGGGTTACTTCAAAAAGATGCAAAAGGTTTATCTGACACCACTAAAGACACATTACATTTCTTGCACATGGAAAGTACTTCTACCCAACTTAACATTCGTTCACCAAAAGACGAAAAGGAAACGAAAACTTTAGGTAAATATCAAAGTAATGATTTTTATATAACAATTAGAGAAAAAAAAAAAAATTGTATGTATGTTTAATCATAGTATATATTAGTTCGACGGATTTGTGACCTAATAAGTACGGTTTGTCGTTGTTGCTGTTGTCATCTCTCGTAGCTTAGTGGTCAAAGCATTGGCGCGTAAAGCCAAAGAGCCCGGGTTCGATTCCCGGCGGGGGTGTGACAACAGCAACAAATTTTTCCTCATTAATGTGAGGAAGTGTGTAGTGGGCAAAAAAGAATTCAAGAAATTCATTTTCAGAATAATATTTCATATTAGAGATCTTTGTTTAAATGCAGGTAAAACTCATCTTCGCCAGTCTCTTCTCCTGCACGAAGAATGCCAAAGAATTCAAAAAATTTGCCGAGAATTAAAAGGCAAACAAGCACTGAATTTTGTCCTGAGAAATTCACACAACATGGTCCTCCAAAAGTACACAGAAAACGAATACGAAAATGATTTTAGGGATGTTTTAGATCCACCAAATATTGTAGGTAAATAGGTACTGACTATCTTCATCTTTTACCACGCAAATTAATATCGATCTCGTTGTAGCATCCACCAAGTTTCAATTATCTTTAACTAGTCCTGACTTTTCCATGTACCGGGTACGTGACCTTTTCAGAGGTCTTGGGCCGATTGCTATATTTTCAGCCAAAAAACATTGGAGTGCGCCGCGTCAAGTGCAACTTCAGAAAGGAAAAGAGCACGACGAATTCGGATTCTCCATACGGGGAAATTGTCCAGTCATAATTTCACATGTGGATCCTAATTCATTGGCAGAGGTTTGTTTAAGTTTGATATGGAAAAAACAAAAAAAAAAAAAACAATGATATTGTAGGGATATAACAGTAACGTTAACAGGGACGTGTAAATATAACGATTTATTAAAAGAAACAAGTTATAAAATGAATAAGATTAACTTAACAGAACACGGAAGCTTTACATGAATGAGCCAAGCCCTCACGACGTCTAACTCGAGGGTTATTCTTCGACTCCCGATTCCGTCCTTTTCCTTTTTAAAATTGTACGGTACTCAGTACATCTTGACCGTCCCAGAGGTCTTTTTCTTTAAGCAACGGTAATAAACTTTATGACAGGGTTGCGTCCGAGGACCTGGCTGCTACATGTATTGTACATTTTCCTAAATATAAGTAAATAATTCTTATGACTATAACAACTTAAAATTTAAAAATTAAGAACTAACTTATTCTAAGTCACGTCTGCATACTACAATATCGACTGGCTCAAAAAAAAAAGGTCAATAGAATAAGCTTACATTTTGAAACTATCCAAAGGGGTTAGGGGTACAAAAAAAAAATATAGGGTACCTTTCATCCAGAAAAACAGTACTGTTCTCGAGGAATATAAAAATTAATTTTATGTAGTCGTCGATGATATTTGACAAGTATTCAGGACATTAACGCGAGCGAAGCCTCGGGTAAAACCTATTATGAAATTTTGTAGACACATTTTCAGGGGTACAAAAAAGGACATAAGGTACATTTTATTAGTGTCCGACCGAAACTGGTTTTTACGACCGAAACTGGTTTTTACGACCGAAACCGAAACCGAATTTCGGCAACGGTCTCAGTTTCGGCCGAAACCGAAACCGAAACTTCCTTATAAGGATCATGTTTTGAGAGAAAGATAAAGAAAACGTTATTATAATTGCCGCCGAAACCGAAACTAAACCGAAACCGAACTTTCGGTCGGACACTACATTTTATGCAGAAAGAAAATACTGTTCCCAAGGGATAAAAAAAATTAGTTTTATGTATCAAAGTCAAAATAGTAATCAACGGAAGACGAAATTTTAGATTTAGTATTTGAATTGATCATTGATGATGAGAACAGTCGGTTGAACGAAACTATTTCAGTAATTTATAACATATATACATTGTTATTGCAAATAATGACTGTTGAACTCCTTTTATAGTTTGGAGGTGTCAAAGAGGGCGACTTCATTGTGGCAATAAATGATAAAGATGTTAAGTGGGCTACCCACGATGAGGTAGTGACATTGATCAAGCAAAATGAAGAATATTTGTCATTAAAGCTCGTTACACCCACGGACCGGAATTATTTGAAGGTAAATGCACTCATTTGAATTTCAAATTCAATTGTTTCTTTAATCTCAGCATGTCTTCTGATATATGCGACACGAAGCATTTGATGAGTCATTAGAATTCGTTTAGACCGGCAACATATGAATAAAATTTGTTAATTAGAAATGTTGTAAATACTGAGACAATTGTTTCGAATTTAACTGAATTTTGTCTATTAACAAATTAAACAATAAATTAAACGTATTGCTTAACAACCAAATTGACGTAAAATTTTTCAAAAGCTTGCCCCACATCAACTATGTTTCCGACTTTAGTATTTTTAAGATTAAGAATTTTTAATCATTACAATAATTTATTGCAAATTACAGTTCTCACAATTAACCCCTTTTGTTTTCTTCGATAGCCTTATATCAAACCAAATAAAGAAACAATTTCAACGTACAGCGGCGGTATGCATTCTGCCGTTTCAAGCGTTAAGTCAAGTCCTTTACCACATCACACCAATCCCAAGAGACACTCGTGGAATCCGTTCAGAAAGACCTTCACGTTTCGAGAGGAAAAAGACTTATTTCGAGATGTGATTTTAAGATAGTCGTAGCCGTCTACTACAAAATTCCACCTAATTGTTATTACATTTATAATAAATATCAGACATCGTCCTACAGAACACTCACCGTTTCTGGTAAGCATTCTGCTGAAACTCTCACTTGCCGGTTTGCATCACTCATCAGCACGCCATAAGTAGGTGAGACAGAATTCCAATCAATTTAAGCTGCTGCTGGTTAACAACGTTTAATAAATAACCGCAAACAGCGTGAGTATAAGCTCCTTCTCTAAAGACTTGTTACTAAATACAGTTTTTGTTCAGTGCTTAACAAGATTGTTTCTAAATAAACTACGCCACAGATTTTATTTGATGTGCTTAATTAAAAAATTCCTTTTCAAAAACTAATGAACACCATTAGTGGCATATCTCAATAGATAACTTTTATCAGGCTGTTCGTGGTTATTAATCCTTGAGTACAAAATAAACGCGTTGCTAATATACGTAATATTACTTGAATAGTCAGTCACAGATTACGTTTTACAAAGGATCTTAGATCAAAAATTTCAATGGGCGCAAAGTTGTCAAAACTCATCTTTTGGAGATGTGGTCCCTTAAAGTTGCATTCTTCCACAAAGATTTCAAAGATACAATTATATTCCATATGTTTAGGCAATTGAGTATGTTCAAGTACCTATATATGCATATATTGAAGCATTATATCTATGTCTAGTGCATATTATGGACAGTGCACCTATTTCTATTCCTCATAAGTACATTACGACGTTGAGGAAGAATGCAGCTTTAAGGGATCATACATCAAAGAGTTTGACAGAGGGTCATTTTCCGTAAGGATCTAGCGAGGTCCTTTACTGTTAACAATTGTTTGAAGATAATAATAGGCTGGTAATTTACTTTGTCTAATTTAAATAATTTTATAAGATTAATAATTTATTTTATATAGTCTAGTTTATGTACAGTCAAAGTTTAAGTTTAATAAATCTCCCTATGATTCTGAAAGAAAACTATTTTTCGTATACACAGGTGTTTCCGAAATTCTGGTCATCAAAGGTAAGTTCAGTTTTTTATTGTTACTTACTTTCATTTGATATCTTTTGCCGATTTTTAAACAGGAACGTTAGTAAGAATGTAAATTTTTGCACTAAAGCGTTAATACGAAATTAAAAGGTTAGAAAATCAACATAAAAAGTAACATCAACGATTGGTATTTAATCAGTTAAAATAGGATTGGAAATGCATTTAACGAACAAATAATAAAACAAGCAAAATACCCAATATTCGATAAAACTACATTCCAAAAAGATTTCGCTCGAAAATTTTGAGTTTTTTTTATTGATAACTGGGCAAATTTACAATATTCTAAAGGATAGGAGAGATTTGCCATCTTGTACTGTAGACAAGAAAAATATCTCCTAAATTCTTATATTTTATAATATACTCCATCATTTTTACGAATATCTAATAACTTTTTGTTTAATTTAATTTTGGTTTATAAACCATCATCATCATCATAAGGTCATCAGTCCTAAGACTGGTTGGACACGTACCTCCACTCCTTCCTATCCTGAGCTAAACTTCGCATTTCCCTAAAACTAGAACAGCCCACATCC